CAAAAAATGCTAACATGTCATTTATTTGCAAAACTAAAAATAAATCCCATCAATACTATAATCATTTTTAATTTTAAATTATAACGTATACCTCTCTCATAAATGTTATATGCATGTCACGTGCCATTGTTTATTCACACGCGCCGTCTACAATTTTTTCCTTCTAAAGCTTACATTGCTGCAAAATGCTTTTCTCTAATGAGCACTTATTTATGGATCAGTGAATTTAACATTATTTTCCTGACAATAAGTAAAATGATTTTTCATCTTTGAAAAAAAAAATATATATACGAAAATAAATAAAACTGTATAATTTAATAAATACGAAATTTACGTAGAGAAAACGATATTAACTTATATAGAAGTAGAAATTCTGAAAATAGGTTATGATAAAGTCTTTGTCCAATTTATTACGAAAAGAGTATTTACAAAAATGGCTTAGAAAAATGTTTTCATAGAGTTAATTAATTCGACAGTATAACATCGTAAATTTTTATCGTGTTGTCGTTTGTATTATGACAAACACTGTAAATAAAGTGCATTATATATATAATACAATTAAATACATATATTCAACAACGTGTGGCTAGTATTTTATGAATATAATGAAAAACATCCACTATAATTTACAAGGGTAAAATACAACGTTAATTAAAACTACAATTTAATCAATAGTTTTGTACTATGTGATATTCGGTGACCAATAGCTATTTATCTTTTATTTGATAACAATACAATTTTTCTAAAATAACTATTATGTAATCTGATAATTTTACTATATTTATTATATAATACTGTTTTGATTTCAGTGTAAAAATGTAATTCGTCACTCAAAACTAGTGTTGTAATTTCATTAATAGTTCAACCAAAGAATGAACAAAATTATTTTTAATAAAACTACTATTTAAGAATATTATCATTTATTCGTTGGAAAATAAGACATATCAATTAGTTTTTCATTAGCTTTATTACAGCTATATGTTCTATTAACGTTTACTTAACTTGTTTCGATGGTACTCGTATTTTCTACTTTGGTATGTACTTACTAATCTTAGTTTTTATACAATTATCTATTATCTATTATGCATTGACATCAAATAAATCATTTTGTTTTACTTTTTAATGTTACTTTTCTTGGCCTTTTGAATGTAGTATTATTTACATTAAATTTCATATTTTTAAGATAATTTTATTCGTATTTTGAAATAACTAAATACTAAATATAAATTTTTAGCAAATACCATAAAAAAAATAAAATAAAAGAAAAAAATATTGGTAGTATAAAATATATTCAATCATTTAGTAACATAAATCTTCGTGGACTCGAAACGCTATTTCATGAATTTATTATTTTTAATCATTAGGATATGTTTGCAAATAAAGACCTAGATAAATAAATATATTCCTGTCCATTAAAATTCATACAAAGTAGTTTATGTTAACTTTAAAGTCTACTTATCATTGGTAAATATATATGTTAGGTATTTGGTAAATTTTATTTCAGCCTCAAAACACGTAATATTATTTAAAAAATATATATTGTTGATATTTTCACGTACCAACATTATCGTAAAAATGCAGACACTTATGAAAGGTATATTTAGAAGCGTGAAAATTAAATCAATAGCTACCTATATTTAAGTATATTTTTATGTAATAAATTAAATAAGTTTTAGCTTCTTTATTTTTTATTATGCTTTGGTATTTTTTTCTATACAGTTATCTCATAATAATAACTTTCAACAAATGATTGTTTAAGGATTAAATTGTTTTGATATTATTATTCTAATAATAAAAATGAATAATCAAAATAACAGATTCGAATTTATATTTTATATTCCAAATTAATTTAAAATATTTTTAATAACACGAATACGTACTCTTCTGCTTACAATAAAAATAAATTTTTCGAGTTAGAATAAGATCATGGTTATATTATTGTGTATGTATATAGTTACTTACTATCAATTTATCATATTTTTTACAGTTATCACTTAAGCTATGATTGATGTACATCTTTTGATATATAAACGACGTGTACTCTCCTTATGATTTATGTTATATTTGAAATTATTAAATTTTTCTTGTAGCGTATGGGATATTTGATGAAATAGTTGTGTCATATTATTCAAAAATAATTTTAAAGATGAAATTATTACTTATTACATGTCAAAGTATACGAATGGGACTAAAAAACTGTCTTTACTTTTATTAATATATTTTCTTATATTTTTTAATGTAGCCAGCAAAAATTTCCCTAAGGGGATGATCTTGTATTGGCTTGCACCCTTTTTGAAAGACGGAAAAAATATATTCAAAGTTTCATTTTTATTATTATAAATGTATAGTGGAATATATTATATATAGATTTATATATAATGGCAGTGTAATTAAAGTCAAATGTGGTTTACTTTGTGATGCTTTTGAGTATTCATATTACTGAAGCCTTGGACATCTTTTCGTTTGATAATTAATTGTGTGGATCAAATCTTATTTTAATTTTAAATATTTAATTTTATTTCCTATTGGTTTCATTGTCTTTTAATTTTCTTAGTAATTCTTTAATTCATAAATATTTATAATTAACTTTGGTTTAAATTTAATATGCTAATATTGAAGTCACTTAAATTTCACAAATAAATTAAAAATATACTGTTCATATTTCGTTTAACTAATAAAAATTATTCTTTTTATAATTTATAATGAATAATGTGAACGAATTTATTTTGATAATCGAATCATAAAATGTACATAACATATTTATATTTTGAATTTTTTTAGACAAAATCTATTCTCATATTTTATGCTTGTGAATTTGTTGCCTTTAAATCTCTTTAGTTATAAATAATAAACCTCGTGTCACATTTTGTGCGGTAGAGTTTTCTTTGGACATTTTCTCTTATTAAAGGTACTCAATCCTTCGTTTCTGTCACGTCGTGTTGTGCTCTACAAATAAAAACGTTCTTTTGAATAATAGTTCCGGCCTGTCATCTGCAGAGCACTCGCTAGGCTATTATCATAAGCAGTACACCTCTAAACCCCTCTGTGCACTTAACTAAAAAACAAAACAAACCGTAAGTGTTCAAAATCATTGTTTTTAAAACGAGAGGACGGATTTCTAAAGAATTATTATCGTAAATAGGGATGGTTTTTTTTTTTTTTAACGGACGTGCATTTTGTTATGAATAAGTTATTATGGGTGGTTAGAGATGTGAACAAAAATAATTATAATAAATAACGAAAAAAAAATCATGTCATAAATCGTTTGGGTCGGGTGTATATACAGGGTTTTTAATTTCCTGAACGTCGTGTAATCTATAAAGGGGTCAACGAACAGATTTCATCAGGTAAAGTAATTTGTCCCCTTACTCGGGGGATAGCATTCGATGTATAAGTGTGTGTGTGTGTGTGTGTGTGTGTTAGTGGATACGAACGAGGAGAGGTGAGAATTAATCTACTCGACTTTGGCAACATGACAAAAGCGTATACATAGAGTGCAATTTAGACGTTTGGATGACAAACGCCCATCAGAACCAGGTCCCGGATGTACCCTCCGTATAAATCCTGACTAATAATATCATTCCAATGCTTCATTCGCTTCTGATGTGCGTTAATGATTTATTTATATACATATATATATATATATATATATCCCTTAAAAACATTCATGCATAAGGTATCATTGTGTATAATGTACATATACTCGTATTTTAGTATGTACCACATTTATTATTCTTTGTGCGATTATATTTAAATCAAAACCTTGTATGCTTTGTCAACTCCAAATTTATATTTTAATTATTTATTTATTACGTTTTAGTGTTTGTGTATTCTTTTTTTTATATATTTATTAATTTAGTGTTCTGTAAATCGTATTTTCTTATACTATCTTGTGCCATATAGATTGTATAATTCCAATCCATTGGCAATAATAGGAAGCCAATTATAGTCTAATGTCGAAATTGATTTAGGTTAAAATTTTATTTAAACCTCTACTAAGTTATTGAATATTTCATGATTGTTATTTTTGCATTATGTTGTGGTTGTTTTAAATTGGTAAAAATATCAATAATTCTATTACATCAATTTTCATTTTAAGAGTGCAGCCGATCTTTTTACATTGATATATTATATATATGGTATCCTAATTTATAGACCTTTCATCCGGTCCGGATGGTAGTTAAAATCTGCGATAAGGTTTAAAATATGATTTATCATTGTAACCTATTATATATAGTCAAAATCATAATTCATCAAATTTGTAACCGTGTGTTGTTACTATATTACACATCTTTCGCTCTACTACCATCTAGGAATATATCTGTACAAAAATATTATTTCAAAGATGTCATAATCGTATGCCATTAGTTAGTCATAGCTCTATTATAATATATAATTAGAGCTATGACTAATATAATAATAATATAATATATGCTTCTGTATTTTCTTTACAGTTAGTGATTATCATTGAAAATAAATTTTAACTTATAAGTAAATCTCATTAATGTTTTTCTTTGTTATAAAAACTCTAAATTATTTATTCTTTCTCCATTGCGAGTCATAACTATAATAACAAAAGTTTTATTGAAAAATTTTATATTTTAACTAAAAGTAAGTTGTAAGTTCGTTGTATATCGAAACTTTTACATAAATAATTATTTACTATAATAAAATTGAAGTTTAATTATTTTTTTATTAAACTGAGTATCAATATTTAATTAATTTTATTCAACGTATTTTACATTTTATATTTATATGTAATATTATAATATTAATATTATTATGTATATAGTATTTTACTGTCTAACTTTAAAATAATATGCATAACATTTGTATTTGGTTAAAGCAATAGCCTTAAGTATAAAAAAAAAAATAATTTTTAACCAGGATGTATTACAAATATCTAATTGAAAAATTTTATAAATATTTTCCTGCAATTTTGAAAAAAAAAATTATCTATAATATCTGTTTTTATTTAATATTTATTACCTTCTTTTCAGACTGGAGTTCTAATCTCGGTGATCAAGAACGAGTTAAACGGCAATTATCCGTGTCGTCTGACTCAAAATTATTGGACGAAGATATATGTGAGGAAACTCGTGTCATACTCAGACCAAAAAAACCTCCTAGGCCTAAATCCGAAGTGTTCCTAAACCAACCCAATCACAGACGAACCAAACGTTATTCGGCATTTGGGGTATGTATTCCATTATAGTCTATTAATGTAAACATGTGTGTATGTATATATATATATATATATATATATATATATATATATATGAGCGCGTGTGTGTGCCATGTGTGTGTATAATCCGCTTGCGTGTTGCAAAGAAGTTCTATAATCCAAGCCTCATTACTGAAAAAAATTATTTTTGTTTTGAACACTCGATAATGACATTCATTTTCACATTCAATTTTTTATAAGCGGTTGGAAACTTAAAGTTTTTTTTACAAACCTTTTTATACGTCGTTATTATTTCCCCCTTTTATATTCGTATAATGATTTCTTTTTTCTTGGGAAAATGACACGTAACTTTGAATCTAACTGCTATAGAAATATTAAAATTGTCTTGAAACCTATATTGTTTTTCGTATGTAATATATTGAAGTTTTCATATTTGTTTTTTGTATTCCAGGGAGATTCTCCATTTGGGAAATCTGAGGCATACATAAAATTAGATCCGCTTGGTGAAGGTTCCTATGCTACCGTCTTTAAGGGGTACAGTAAGTAAGTACAACAATTGTAATTAATAATGTTGTGTTGTATTTATGTCGATATAATATACTATTTTTATAGTTGTAATTAAATTTGATAGAAAGTCAAGGATGTTTATAATTTAATTGTATCTTAATCAATGACATCATTACGTTTTGTATAAGTAGGTAAGGTTACCATGAAAAATTCAAATATCACAGCAAGCATTTTGAATTAGTAAATATATACATATTATATTTATATTACATTTTTGAAAAATTAACTACTTATGTTAAAATAATATTTTTAGAAAAACATATAGTAGTATAGTTTGATGTGTATTTTAACAGTCGTAGGTTATAAATATTTTTATTATATTACTATCTTATAACAATCCAAACACTATAATTTGTGAGTATTGATTTTTAGTGTCTAAATATGAAACTCTAAAGTTAGTATTAAAAATAATTATGTTTTGTCTTGAAAATGCATTTTAACAAAAATTCTTTAACGAGAAAGTATGTATTTACCGTATTTACGTAAAAAATTCGTTTGTGAAATTACATAGAATTTATGTACAGTTAATATTTTATTTCATATTTTATATAAATGTTTCAAAAAACAAAATATCAAATTAGATATGAAAAAATATACGATCGTTATTTTTTTTTATGTTTAATCTTTATTCGTGGTAAGTTTCTGGTGTTGTTGTGATCGTGTTTGTTGTGTTTTTTAGTACTTGATTAATTATTTATTGTTTTTTTTTTTTTTTAGTTTGACCAATCAAGTTGTTGCATTAAAAGAGATAAGACTTCAGGAAGAAGAAGGTGCACCTTTTACGGCCATCCGTGAAGCTTCGTTGTTGAAAGAACTGAAGCACAACAACGTAGTTACATTACACGACATTGTGCATACACGTGAAACACTTACATTCGTCTTTGAATATGTAGTAAGTTGTACATGTATTTTATATACTTAATAAGATCTCAAAAATATTTTTCCCCTTAAATAATAAATAATGTTTAATCTGAACTTGAAAATGGTTCTTTGTTTTTGTTTATTTTATAAAAAAAATCATATCCAATTTGTGTATATTGTATATTTGACTGTATGTGTCTAAGCATTACTTATTTAGCGTTTACAACTATGATTTTGTATTCATATATGTGATCATTACAAAGGTTATAATATGTTTTTGAGAACTAATAAAAATAAAACTTGTGAGTTTATCTTGTTTATACATAACTGATAGTGTTTATAATGCATTTTATCAATTAATTTGATCTATAATTTACTATAAAATTCAACCTTCTGTCTTAAATTTTAAATTATCTTGTGTGTACAAATTATATTAGTTGTTAGTAAATTCATAAAGTAATATCTATACAACTAAGTTGTCTTATTTACCTCTTATATTATGATATTTATTAAATTATCTTCATTGAAATTTAAATACAGAACTGTTTTCTAGAATTAATTTAATTTTTTATATGTCAGTTATTAAAAAGAAATTTAATATTTAAATTATGTGGTTTTATTTATTTTTTTTTTTTTTTTAATGAAAATACACAGCAGTTAATTTAGATAATTTTAAAAATCTGATTGTTTGATCTTAATAATTATTAATATAAAAGTGTAATATAATCAGTGAAATATTAAATATAATTAAATAAAAACTTTTGAAAACTATAATGTGATTAATTTCAGCATACCGATTTATCACAATATATGGAAAGACATTCAGGTGGCTTGGACTACTCAAATGTACGACTTTTCATGTTTCAATTATTCAGAGGATTGGCATACATCCATCAACGTCGGGTGTTGCACAGAGATGTCAAGCCACAAAATTTGCTCATCAGCGAGATAGGAGAACTTAAATTAGCCGATTTTGGTAGGATGCTGATCACATTTAATTTAACATCTAGTGTAATCTAATACAGTTATATTTCTTTAAACATAATAATCATTATTATTTAGGTTTGGCTCGTGCTAAATCAGTGCCAAGTCATACATATTCTCATGAAGTAGTAACACTGTGGTATAGACCACCTGATGTCTTGCTTGGGTCCACAGATTACTCAACATCCCTGGATATGTGGGGCGTTGGGTGTATATTCATTGAGATGATCACTGGTGTTCCCACTTTTCCTGGAGTACGAGACACTTATGATCAGTTGGATAAAATATTCAAGGTAATAGTAATGTTAATTTATGTTTATCAACAATTAATATTAAATATTTTTCATAGATATTGGGTACTCCTACTGAAGAACATTGGGAAGGATGCACACATCTTAAAGGCTACAAAGAGGGCAAAGGTAAAATATTTATGTACCCACATCAAAAGCTTGGCCATGTATTTCCTAGGTTGTATGACATTGCTGAAGGCGAAAACTTGGCTACTTCATTACTTCAGGTACTAAATCTACATATCTTATATGTACTACAATTATTACACTTATATATTCAGTTATAATTATTTTAAAAATAATAAATTATAGTTTTATACATTTTTATTTACATTTTTTTTTTTTTTTTTGTAATTTTTCATATTTGGCCAAAACAAAAAAAAATACAACAATTTAAATAATAATGTATTATAAATTAAATAAATATAAAAATGTATACATGTTTTTCTTGTATTATTTTTTGTTGAAATAAAAAAAAATAATTAAACTTACAGTAGATTAATTTTATAGCTAATAGTACTTAGTATTTACAAACACAATTGATTTTATAGTAAACATAAACCATGCTACAAGAATATTCAGCAACTAAGTAGCTATTTTTAATTTATAGAGTACTATCATAGTGCTATCATAGTTATGTATTATAGTTACATTATTCATTAATAGTTATATTAGAAAATAATTAAATTCAATTAAATTAAAAAATTTTATTGCCTTGACTAATGTATAAGAAATCAATTGCTACATTATTAGCAATTGTATTACAATTATATAATTTTTAAATTTTTATACATTTTAGAATTGTATTTTTTAATTAGAACATTGATAATTTTAATACAGTTTTATTTTTTTCTGTATACAAACACATTTAATAAAAACATTTACAAATCAAATCAATAAATATTTTAGAACTCTTCATTCTGGTGAGGTATAATAATGGATAAATAATATTACTGTATTAGTTAGTTAAACTTGAAATAAATGTACAATTACTTTTTTTTTTTTTTACCAAGAAAATCTTATGAAAAATCTTGCATGTAATTATATGTAAAATAGTTTTATGAATTTTCAACTACAAAAATGTAATATCCTATATTTTGCTTTTTATTTGGTAATGGTCAGAGAAGTCCCTCTGATTAAAAACATGTACACGAACACACACAATAATATAAGAAAATCTTATGGTAAAACCAATATGTCTTATTTTACTCACAATCTAATAAGTTGATTTAAAATTTTATAAAATGATTGTCTAATGTTATCAATATTTTATTTCAGCTTAACCCAGACTTGCGTATAAATGCTCCATCAGGTCTTAAGCATAAATACTTTCAGTCACTTCCCAAAGCCTTATATGATCTTCCAGACGGTATGTTTTACTGTTGATCTATTAAGAACTGAATTTTAACTTATAATGTTTTACATTTTCAGAGATGTCTATATTCAGTTTAAAAGGTGTCCATTTGAGTCATGAATCAAGAACTACGTTCAAGTGTTAAGTGTTTATTTTTTAGTAATTATGAAATTATTACTAATTATTAGCTCAATAAATTAAAAATAATAATATTATATAAGTATAGTTGTTTACCAGAAACATTGAGTTGTGTAGCCCGATCGGGGCTAGACACGTCTTGGCTGTTGAGCCATTTTGCTGTGATGATGATTATTTTATATTTCCTATATTCATACTTATAAAATGTTAGTTTATCAGTGTTCTCAAGGGCCTCTAGATTGAAAATACTTATTTTACAATAAATTTCAAAATAACAATCATAGCTGTATTATAATTAAAAACTTATAAAATAAAAATAAATTAACTGAACAAAGAGGAAATAAGATATATTTTTAGGGCGATTAAAATTCTTCTGTGTTTACTACTTATACAGTTTTCACAAAAAAGATTATTAGTATTTAAGGCAAATGGAATTGCTCAACAAAGTGGGGTTAACTATACAACAATCTAGTTACATATATTGTATACATAAAATATGTATTGGTAATATTTAATTTCAATTGAACAAAATTACTTAAATTATTTGTACCCACGTTCGCTTTGCCGTCCCTTAAACGTCCAATAAATAAGATGTGTTTGAAAAACATTCCCAATAATAAAATTTAACGATTCAACCCTATATATATTTGTTTATGAATAGTTTATTTTATTTTTGTCGCTTGCCGTCCAATTGGTCCGTCAGAGCAAAATATTCCTCAGAATAAAATATATTTAATTAATATCTACAAAAAAAATTAATACCAAATAACTTATCAATGTTATTCCACAATTTTGTTAAAGTTAAACCCTTAATTATATATATATATATATATACCAGTTGTATGTTAATCATGATTAATGGTTGTGTTAATGCACTTACAGCATTATATTTATGCATTTAACATAATATAAATGGGTGAACGAATAAAAAAGTTGTTTTCTTTTTTTTTAATTTTTTATTTCTTATTCAAATAAAATGTATACCAAGGTTATTAAATATTAGAAACTAAATAAATTGTATGTTTATCTACTAACTATTGTTTGCAATAATGTAATAATCATTATAATAATTCCAAAAAATTGTCATTTTTATTTTCTTAATGTGTACACTTATTAATTTTCAGTTAAAAATCATATGACTCAAATTTCTTTCTTAATAAAAAAAGTTCATATATTATAAATAAATATATATTTTTTTTTCAAAGTGTAATTTCACTGTCTATGCTAATTATAGATAGCTAATATATTAGCAGCTAAAAATTATATTAACGAATTAATAGATTGTAAATGATACCTTATAGATATTTCACTGTGTCCCAAATCTTGCACACGCTAGTGAAATAACAATTTTTTTTCACAAATGAAGTCAATTAATTATTTGCAGACGTTAAAAGTCGCCTACTTTAGAATTTTTTTTTATTTTTGAGACATGTTTTGTACGCATTTTTTTTTCTGGATGTTATCCATTTAAATGCAAATTATGCGTTTTAGCCTATTCTTGTCTAACAATTAAGACAAAAGTATATGGATTTCAACTGTGATTGTGAATCATTATGTTATGATGCATTTTCTGTTAAAAATTGTAACAGTCTAGTAAAATTAAAATAATTATTTTTTAAATGAATAAATGTTTATGGTGGCCTTCTTCCTGTATTATTTTCCTGCCCATTGAACTACTGTTTAGTCTATATTTTAATGCCTTTCCATAATATTAATAATTATTATTAATATTGTGATTGTGGATTTAATGTGAAAATTATTATTAATATTATTATTAATATTATTATTATTATTATTATTATTATTATTATTATTATTATTATTATTTATTTTAGGACTGTTGAAAAAAAATTTTGGTGTAAATAGAATTATTATCATAATTTTGTCATTTATATAGTTTGTTTATATATTATATTTGTTTAAAGACTTTAAATCAATATATTGTAGAATGACTCATTAAGTGTAAAAAAAAAAAAATAAATTAATTAATTAATTAAAAACAACAAATTTCTTAAAACAAACATGTTTTTTTTTTATTTGCTAGTTACTAAACATTTTATTTTTGAAATTATTACCTAACACACAAGTAAAACTAATTGTGCCATTTTGTATGTACATATAATTATGAAAATTTATCACACGTCAAATGAAAGACAGATAATGTTTCGACGTTAATAGCTCGATGAAGTCATGTAAATGGCCAAGGTGTCAAAATGTACGAGAACAGCAATAGGAACAAATATTCTTTGTTTAGGCCTGTAACAAAAAAAAAAAAAAAATTAAAATAATATCTTCTATTCTTATGTTTATGATTTCAACTTTGAAGATATTAAAGCTTCATTTTTATGGTTTTTTTTTTTTTTTTTTTTTTTTTTTTACCACAGTTATTTTAAAAATATAATAAAATAATAATGTCAGTTGGATTCTATTGCTAGACTTAACATTGGTTCTTGATAAATATGTTTCCTTTATTTGTACAAAATCAATATAATATTTTACTTAAAAGTTGTAGGTTGTACCACAGAATGTATAATATTTATATATATATATATATTCTATAATAATAATATATATTCTGTGGTTGCACCATCTGTGAACAATGTATAATTGCATAGTTAAATTGTATAATGATAGCTTAACAAAAAGATTTAAATTGATCATTGTTTAACTACGAGGTGCCAGGTTAATGTTTATTGGAGATAAATGAGTTTTGGAATCTTTTGTAATGTGACTCAACAATGTAATATTTTCCACGAATCTTTAAGATCATAGAATAATGCTACATCATTGATCATAATAAACAATACGGATTTGAGATCAGCAGCTTGTTTGTACATTTCTGATGAGCTGCGAAAACTATCGTAATGAAAGAATGTATAACTTGTGTTCCGAGAGAAACGTTTGTCAAGAATAATGAATTGTCAATTGTAATATAATAAACAGTCACTGATTTGGTAGTCGGATTCAGTTTTGGTGTAATTTTTATTTTTATTTTTGATCTCTGTTAAAGTGTGAATATACTGTTAAAAAATTATTCTCTCGAATCACAAGGAAGCCCATTTAAAAAATTAACCGTAAAGAATTCAATCACAGAGTTTTACATAGACAATTTAAATGAAATTCAGAACTAGTAAGAGGGAACAAAAATTGCTAAATGTTATGTAAACTGAGTACAAGTAGTTCTATGTCGAAACGGAAAAGAAATACGGTCCACCGTATGGACGTGTAACCATATTATACTTTGTTCGATTACAACTTTAATGGAACTGTCGTATGTAGATAAGTTATTCTCTGAGCGAAACGAGTATTGGTTTCCCAAAGATGTTTTTCTTCTCCATTATCAAACTTTCGGGTGCAAATCAACGAGGGAATCGTTTTTTTCTTCGGATCTCAGTGTCGACCGGAACGTTGGAACAATGTCACTTTTCGATTTTATCAATGTTTTACCGGATAAAAATGTGAATAAAATCTCGGAAATTATGTTAAATTACGTCTCTCGAATGTTTACATAAATTTTCTTATACTCGCAATTTTGAAAATGCCTCGCAAGACTAATATAGTAAACCGATTTCGCTCATGTTCCAGAGAAATCATATTTTAGTTAAATTCGTGAGAACGCTGCTGGCCCTTCCACTCCATGGAACGTATTTTTATTTAATATAATACATTGATTTATTTAAAAAAAGTAATATATAAATAATTAAAAATATAAATTACCTACTAGTCTATCATTATGATATGTTATTATAACAGGAATATGAGCTGTAGGTAACTGTAAAATATTTTTAAGTTTATATTGAAGAAAAATTAGTTTCGCCCCCCCCCCCACCATGGGCCCCAACACAAATATGCCCTTGGCCCGTGTGGCTTATATGGGTGGCCACTAAACGAGTAACCATTTCCTCTATCCTTGAGGATTTTTTCATTCCTGATGTACAGGGGCGTCATTTGGAGGAAGGGCAGAATATGGCAAATACCCCACTCTAAGAAATTTTAAAAAGTCGGCAATTTTTTGTCCAATAATCAAATGCTAAAATCGGTAATAGTAAATTTTTATTTATTACTAGCCGACCCGTCACAGCTTTGCCCGTGATTGGTTGTTTATTTTTCCTTCGGACCATGATATTTAGAATTTTTTATTCAAATATTATTATTTAATGTGATCGGCAAGTAAATATAAAAAAATGGTTAATGAAAACGGATTGAAATTTTTCATCTTAAAAATGCCCAACGTGTATATTTTACCAATGAAAATGTTCAAGAGAGAGTGGCACGTCCACCAGCAACAACATTAACCACATATTTTCAATTGTGCGCAAGTGATGAATTTGCCAGAATTTTGCTGTATTCAGATATAATGCATTATTACACTTAAAAAAAAAACAAAAAACATAGCAACGGCGTAAAAAGGGAACAGCAGTTGATGGCCATCCAGGTCTTTTCTATACAGAAACAATGGGTAGACTATACACAGTTCATCCAAATATGGTAGAATGTTATTATTTGCGGCTGTTGTTAGTGAATGTTGTGGGGCCGCGTTCATTTGAAGATTTGCGAACAATTAATGGTCATTTATGTGCTACGTATCGTGAAGCGTGTGAGCATTTGGGTTTACTGGAAAATTATGCATGTTGGGATTCATTACTTCAAGATGCATCGATCGTTTCATTTCCACATCAAATACGTATGCTGTATGCCATAATAATATCAACATGTTTCCCATCGAATCCGATTGAATTGTGGAATAAATATCGAGATTTTATGACAGAAGACTTTTTGATTCGAATGCGCCATCACACAGGAAACTTTAATTTGATCATAACATTGGAAATGTATAATGAGGCATTAATAGCGATTGAAGATATGTGCCTTACGATCGCCAATAAAGCATTGGGACAATTAGGTATGATTTCACCCAATCGTCCAATGCATGATTTTTTCGATGGAGAATTACGACGAAAACAACAGTATGATATCAATGAATTGCAAACATTTGTGAATTTAAATGTTCCCAAATTAAATGACCAACAAAAAAATGTGTACGATACCATCATGCAAGCAGTACAAAATGAAGCCGGTGGATTGTATTTTTTGGATGCGCCCGGTGGTACGGGTAAAACATTTGTAATATCACTCATTTTGGCAAACATTCGAGTGCAAGGGAAAATTGCATTGGCACTTGCTTCGTCTGGAATAGCTGCTACTCTGTTGGATGGAGGACGAACAGCCCACTCTGCATTAAAATTACCATTAAATGTGCAGGTTTGTTTATATTCATTGATCGATTGGCTTGAAATGCATTTGCATTTATTGAGATGTAATTATTTTTAATGTATTACAGGTGATTGAGAATCCCACGTGCAATATATCAAGAAATTCTGCGATGGCGAAAGTTTTGCAGCAAACAGCAATTATTTTATTGGATGAATGTACAATGACGCACAAAAAATCCCTTGAAGCAATACACTGCACAATGCAAGATCTGCGTGGCAATCATAACATTTTTGGTGGTGCATTGATATTATTGTCAGGTGATTTTAGGCAAACACTTCTCGTAATTTCACGCTCACCACCGGCAGATGAGATCAATGCGTGCCTAAAGTCTTCTTTCATGTGGAGATATGTGCGAAAATTGACGCTAAACATAAACATGCGTGTTCAGTTGCAGAATGATCAATCTGCAGATCGGTTTTCGAAGCAATTGTTGGAAATCGGAAATGGCAAAGTTCAAATCGATAACACAAACGGTTTAATTAGTTTGCCAAACAATTTTTGTACAATTCTCCAATCAAAAGAAGAATTGATTAAACGAGTGTTTCCAAATATTATCCAGAATCATAGGAATCACAATTGGTTGAGTGAACGCGCAATTCTGGCACCAAAAAAATGTGCAAGTCAATGCTATCAATTATCTCATCCAAGAAAAATTGCCTGGTGCAGTAATATCATACAAATCTATTGATAGCGCATTGAATAAAGATGATGCAGTCAACTATCCAGTTGAATTTTTGAATTCGTTAGAACCACCCGGTATACCGGGTAATTTCTTGAATTTGAAGGTCGGCTCATCAATTATTTTACTACGGAATTTGAATGCACCAAAACTGTGCAACGGCACAAGATTAGCTGTAAAAAGATTGATGCCGAATTTAATCGAAGCCACAATATTGACTGGCAAAGCGAAGGGGAAATTTGTACTCATCCCACGTATTCCTTTGATACCAACAGACATGCCATTTGAATTCAAACGGTTGCAATTCCCCGTGCGCCTATCATTCGCTATGTCCATCAATAAGGCAAAAGGACAAAAGCTCCAAGTATGCGGTTTGGATTTGGAGGAGCCGTGTTTTTCGCACGGGCAATTATACGTGGCCTGTTAAAGAGTTGGCACACCAAATTGTTTATTTGTGTATGCCCCAAATGGACAAACAAAGAATATTGTTTACACAAATGTGTTGGATTAATAATAAAGAATTTAGAAAAAATAAATGATTTTTATTGCATTTTTTTGTGTTGGTGCTGCGAAGCGCACAGGAGTCGGCTATTAGTTATTATAAAACTAATTTTAACTGTACAACCAACGTGCTACTATTTTCGTTTGAAAATTTACTTCGTTTATAGTATTATATTCGTTTGTTGCTAGGGGATCGAAAAAAGAAAGAAGGTAAATAATAAACATCTGATTTAAGAATTGCATTTAGAGAAAGCAATAATTGCACATAGGCGAATTCTATATATGGGCTACGAAGTGCACGGGTTCTCAGCTAGTATTATATATTTCTATACGTGTGATCTTTATAAAACAGTTTTTGCGATATCGATACCATAAAAATTGAGCTCATAATCTATAAAAAACTGTTAATATCATTCCTATTACTCCAAACTACAGTAAATTATATTTGAGATACAATTTTATATTTTTATAAATAAGTTCTGTAAAGTATTAAATACACAAATATAAAATTATAAGTATTTATTTAATTAGATTTATATTATTATTCCAATGTTATATAAAAATGAATGTTTTACTATCTTTAATGTTATTATTTAATTGGGTAAATTGAAATGTTTCATGTTCCTTGTTTATCATCATGATATCATTATTAATTACTAATCCTTACATGTTTTATTCCCGAAAAAATATTTTATTAATAGTCGATCGCATGGGCGTATTTTATGGGGGGTGACGAAGAGGTGATCGCCCCCCCCCTGAATCCATATTTAAGGAATTGATTATATGTGAGATAGTGTTCAATTTTTTTTTTTTTTTAATCTGGATCATTTTATAACGAAATCAAATTATGCGTGGCTGTGAATACTGAATTGGGCTATTTGTCGAGTCCATACTTACAAAACACAGATAGGTGTTAAAAATAACTACACAAAAGTTGATTCAAAAGGGATCTGGCATTAGATTAAAAAAAAAACCACAAATATTAAGGAGTCACCCGATTTAAATACTACCAAAAATTTTATTTGTACATTTTGAGCCTGAATTAAAGAAAAAATTTGAGTCGCCCTCCCTAGAAGTAAGTCTAAATACGCCCCTTATCTATCGTCTATAAATACTAAATATTTAAATATATAGGTAACCATAATTTTTTAAATATTATGAAATCGGCAAATTTAATCAGCTGTCCCACCTTTTCACTAGTTGAAATGATGCCCCTGCTGATGTACCAATGCGTATATAATATTATTAATCCATTGCCGATGTACGTATTCGCTCGTCACTCCGTCTTAAAGATTGTTGTAGACAACATTGTCGAGCTGATGTACGCGATTCATCCGTGTTTCATAATGTTGTCTTATAATTAGTATAAACATACGGCGCCTGCAGATATTTTTTAGGGGACGGGATAATGGTAATTTAATAAATAAATTTAGAGATATTCTAAAAATCACGTAATTTTAATGTACAATTACAATAACATATTTTTAGATTTTATTATATTTATTGGTCTAAAATGTACAAGGTCTACATTAGTATATTATTTTTTCTTTAAAATTGTATTTAATCGCGTAAGGTTTGAAGAAACAGATTTAAAATTCTGTGGGAGCGACAAGTGTCCCTTCTTGCCCCGCCCATCTATGTTAATGTTTATAATAGATCCGTGTACACTGACATTGCCGTTTAAAAAAACTTTTTGTGGCCGTTGTTTTATTGTACTATTGAAAAATAAAATAAAATAACCATCATTCGCTCTGCTCGTTTACGTATTACCGAGCAGTATATTTTTTTTTAGCCCGTCGGATCATCGAGCACGGCACTAAAATTTTTTTCCAGGAGGGACAAAACGGGGCATATATTTTTTTACATGGGCTAAAATTTATTCAACAAATACTGAGGTTATTTAAATAAAATAAATATTTTCGTATCATTGAAAAAAATATAGCTGTTATTATTTTCATGATACACAACCGCGATTAGATGAAAACGAACAAATGGTAATAAAATATAAGTTAATAAGCAAGATAAATGTATAAAATTCACAGTCTATTTAAAAACTTAAAACTCAAATCTTCGAAAGTATTTGCATAAATTACAAATGTTTAAAATTCTTTGATGTAGCTCTTTTAAAAATAAAATTTTATAACTCAATTATGTTTTTCAGTGGTGAAGGGGGGGGGGGGCTGGCAAAGGGCTGAATCAGGGGCTGGCGAATCAAGTGCAAGAATATGCAATAAGTGTGCGTTTATGATAATAAATGTTTAAATCTCGGTCAAATTTGTCGAAACGCGAACCTAAGCAACGGATTAGCGAAGCAGTGCGAATGAGCAATACACGATTGAATCATAGACGTGCGCACGCGTAAATAGCCTAGGCTGCATCTGCTCTTTTTTGGAAGCCAGATTTTTTTAAGGGCGTTTATAAACAGTTTTAAGTTTATCGACAGATGAAAAAAATTCTTTTAGTTTTTCTGCTTGTTTGTGATAGATTGATACCTTGATACGATTATACATTAAAATTTTTTGTTGTGCTGACACAATGTATCTATTGGCAAAAAATTTGCTGAAAGTGTTTCTAAGTGCTGCACCGGATTGGGAACCACGCGCACGCCTGTGGATCGAATGGAATTCGAATTCGTAATTGACGTTTGACAATTCGTGTAATCGACATTTTGAAATAGTGAGCTGACACGTCAGACCGTCCTCGGACGAAGCGCGTTTAAAATGGTTCATATGCCGGTTCGCTCGAACGAACGGGGACCAAGTGCGTCCGCAGGATAAAATCTCACCCGGGGCAAGATTAAAATTCTAAGGGCCAAAACAACTTGTATCTAAAAATAAATGTGAACAAAATTAAATACCATAGAAATCGGTACTCGAGAGAACTTATACGAGGTTTTAAACGATAGGCAGTAAACAAATAGCAGTAGATAGCAAATAAATGCAGTAAAATACGCAGTAGTTATGTGTAAACATTGTAAACTTATAAATACGTTCATGGTTATAAATTTTAGATTATCTAAAAATGTAATACATTTTACTAAACTTTATAAATTAATCTCAATAAGATTATGTTATAAATAATATGCGTGGTATTAAATTAACAATAGTTTTGAAATAAAAATTCCAAGTAAAGGCAATGGCCCATTTCCCCCCCTGCAGGCGCATTTGACAGGGGCCGTGCGCTTCGGACGCTGTCGGTAAATAATTTCGGATGGATTGCCGTAGTCTTTTAAAATTTTGCACAGCGCGTCACGTTTCGTAATAATTATATTAATATGTTACCGGCGACGTGTTGAATATAGGCATTATATAGAAATCCACTAGGCATTCAGTAGAATCCCTTGTACTGTTCGCCAATGTATTAAATTTTAATGTTATTTTAAACAATGCAATCTTGGCCAGTCTATAGGATTCCTAGGATTTCTATAGAATGCCAATGTTACGTCAGGTGTGGTATTAATTTTAGAATAGTATTTAATCAAAAAAATTTACATTACGTTAATAATTTATTATTAATTTATTTGTTGCAGCATACAATTGATGCGAGAACACTGAATTACATAACATTTTATTTTTTTTTACATACATTTTTTTTGGTTTCCCTTTTTATTTTATATACGTAAAAAAAAAAAAAACCATCCAACAATCGCTTTTATTTTCTTCAAACCATTTTTAAGTAGAGAAACTTTGCATAATATTTCATCGTATTTCTCATTTAATAGAAATATGGTGTTTATTTTTTTTTAACTTTTTCTGGTTTTATTTAATTTAATATAACACATTCCGAGATCTTTATATTAGTAGGTAATCAAAAAACATTAAATTAAAACTTGAGTTCAATTTAATCAATTACATATTTTTCAATTTATCAATTATTTAATAACATTTTACCCATTTCAAAAAATTGACATGATAAGTATCTTATCCGTCATATCATTTATACTATTGTCAACAGAGCTGGTTCAAGGTATAGGCGAGCTAGACACTTGCCTAGAGTGGCACTTTAGTAGGGGCGGAATTTTCAAAATTGACTCATACATTTTTTTTAGTTTTATCGGTGTTTTATAAGAAAAATATTTAAATTGATTCATTAGTGAAAACCACTTACCTATATATTAAAATAATATTGTCTTAAGTTATTATATTTTAATAAAAAATACTTAAAGGCGCATTTTGAAGTTTCACCCCGGGTATAATGCTCAGTTGTTACGGCAATGACTTTATATTACGGTCTATGTTGGACGTTTTCAATTATTCCAAAAATATAAATAATCACACAATCATTTCCGCGATTTCCGATATTCGCGATAGTGATGGGTTTTGAGTAATAGTTATAGAAATCATTTTTAAGTCATTTTAAATAAAATTGTATACATAAAATAAAAAAATTAAACTTTTTTTTATGTAGATAAAAAATAGGATGAGGAGCTAAGTTAAAATAAGAGCTCAATTTTTTTTTTAAAGGTGGCTTAGTCTGATTTTGCCTAGTGCACTATTTTTGCTTGTGCGGGCCCTGATTGTCAAAC